GCGGTGGTGGCGGGCGGATGGGCGCGCGAGAAAGAGGCCCGCGCTGGGGCGAGAACGCCATCCTGAACGACGGAGGCAGAACACCGATCCGAAAATGAGGCCCATGCTGCAGCGGGAGCACGATTCGGAACGAGCAGAAGCCCGAAAATGAGGCCGGCGCCTCAGCGAGAGCAGCATTTTGAACAAACCCATGCGAAAACCCAACTCCGGGAAATCCTGTGTGTAAAAAACAGTACGCGGAGGGGTGCCCGCCATCTTCCGCACGCCATCAGGGGAAGGAGGATAATGTATTCATATTGAGTAATTGTGGAGGAGGAGGAGGAGGAGGAGGAGGCGGCGGAGGAGGAGGGGCGGCGGCGGGGGGAACCGCCGCAGGGTAACTTCGGTTGGCTCTCGCTTAGCAGGAGGAGGAGGAGGAAGAGTCGGCGGAGGAGGAGGAGGAGGAGGGGGAGGAGGCGGAGGAGGAGGCGGAGGAGGCGAAGGAGGTGGAGGAGGGAGAGGGAGGAGAAGGAGGGAGGAGGAGGCGAGGACCACCGCCACAGGGTAACCTTCGGTTGGTCTAACGTAGAAGGAGGAGGGGGAGGAGGGGGGAGGAGGAGGATGAGGAGGAGGAGGAGGAGGCGAGGAGGAGGAGGAGGAGGAGGCGGAGGCGGGGGACCCGACTGAAGCCCTGGTGGAACTCCTCGTGTCCCCAACACGGCTTTACGGCCGCGTCCTGGGCGGGTCCGTGCCCCCCCCCCCCCCCCCCCCACCCCTCGGGAAGCGCCCTGCGGCCATCGTCGAGGCCCGCTTACCCGGGGCGCCCGGGGCGCTGCCCCCGAGCTTGCTCGGTCCGAGCTCGCACGCGCTGCCCTCCTCATCCCCCCCCCCCTTTTCCTCCTCACCTCCTCCTCCTCTCATCCTCCTCCTCCCTCCTCATCCTCACTCCTCCTGCTCCCCTCCTCCTCATCCGGTGTCGTATCTTCCTCCTCCTTATCCTCCCTCCTCCTCCTCCTCCTCCTCTCCTCCTCCTCCTCCTCCCCTCCTCCTCCTCCTCCTCCCCCCCCTCCCCGCCTCACTCCTCCCCCCCTCCTCCCCCCCGCCCCTCATCCGCCTCCCTCTCTCCTCACTCCTCATCTCCTCCTCCTCTCCTCTGCTTCCTCCTCCCTCCTCCTCCTCCTCCTCCTCCTCCTCCTCCTCCTCCTCCTCCTCCTCCTCCTCCTCCTCCTCCTCCTCCCCCGACTTCGGATTCGTCGTACTTTGATGGGTTTCGCAAGCAGGGCGGCAATTTCCGCCCTGCTTGTGGAGCTCCTTTGGTGCCGATCTCCATCCTGGTTTGCCGTCGCTGTTTTCGCTACACCTACGCGGCAATATCCGCGCTATCTCTTCCTGAGGTGGACATTTCCGCCATACTGTTTCGCATTGTTCGGGGTGCATTTCCGACACACTTCCAAGTCGGAAAGTCAGCCACAGTACGGCAGATCCGAAGTCAGGGTAAATAACATCGGGCTCCAGCTTCGCCTCACACATCTCGCTCAGCAGCGCCAGGGCCCGCTGCCACTGCTCGCCCGTCTCGCACGCGCTGATCCCAGAGCTGTAGGAGAGACTAGGGCTGACGGGTGGACGAACCGCAGTGAGGGTCTCCCTGGCCTGGGCTGAATCTGGGCCTTCTCGTGCCTTCCTCGGGGTTCCTTGGGTCATCCTGGAGCCGGCCGCGCCTTGGCAGGGGGCTCGTGACCTGCCCCTGGAACGACCCTGAGCCGCCTTGGGGCCGTAGTGAGGCCGAGGCTGGAAATCAAGAGGCGCACGTGCAGCTCATGTTCCGCCGATGCCTCACCGTGGCCGCGGCCGTCCCGGGGAGGTCGGAGGAGGCGCGCGGGTTGCGTGGGCTCGGAGGAAGGCAGATGAAGGGGCCCTGAGACACACAAAATAAACACACACACACACATAAAACAAATCCCTATAGTTTCCCGTATTTTCTGGGTTTTCGTCGTCCCCCCCCCCAGATTTTCCCACATCTTCGGGGGAATCGACTATTCATTGCGCCTGTGCGTTTGCTCCCCTCCTGAGCAGATGCCTCTGCGGAGCCTGCTCCGTGTGACGGGCAGGTCCAGAGCGCCCTCGGGGAGAACGGGAGAGAGCTCCCCGACGGGTCGCCAGGTGTTGCCACTGCAGACCGGTGCCGCCGCAGAGAGACAGAGGAGGAAACTAGGAAGCGCACGGGGTGCCTCATTGCTCTGGGCGGCTGGCGCGTGCCCAGGGACGTTCCCTCGAAGGCCTCTTCGAGGTGGCGCTGGGGCGTATCTCAGGGCCTCTCGGGTGCCTCCTCCTCCTCCTCCTCCTCCTCCTCCTCCTCCTCCTCCTCCTCCTCCTCCTCCTCCTCCTCCTCCTCCTCCTCCTCCTCCTCCTCCTCCTCCTCCTCCTCCTCCTCCTCCTCCTCCTCCCGCCTGTTGGGCCCTGATTTGGGCCACTGCGAGCCTCCTGGGCCTTCCGGCGGGTCTCTTGGGGGCCTGCTGGCGGTCTCGAGGTCATCTTGGGGCGGGGGGCGCGACATGTCAGTTCGAGGCCCCCCTCTTGGAGCCCTCCTAGGCCGTCTCGGGGCCGTCATGTGCCGTCTGGGGGCCCTCTTGGGGGAGCCTCTTGGAGACGTCTTGGGCCATCTCGGGGCCATGCCGGGCCGTCTGAGGGCCAGACTGGCGACCTCTGGGACCGTGTGGGGGAAGTCGAATCTGCTTCCAATGCGCGCAGCTTTTTTGGAAGCGGGCTCGACTTCCCCATGCACGCAGGTCGTCTCGGGCTCTGGGACCGTCTTAGCCTGTCATGGAGGAGGAGGAGGAGAAGGAAGAGGAGGAGGAAGAGGAGGACGAGGAGGACGAGGAGGAGGAGGAGGAGGAGGAGTAACCAGAAGTAACCATGACGGGACAAAGTCCAGTTAAAACAAAACAAGTTGGGCGGGGACTAATCAGAAGAAGAGTCCCCGCGGTGCGGGAGGGCGGTCGGGCGGCGCGCGCGGGGCCGCCCTTCGGGTGGGGCGGCAGCGGCGCGCCTGCCAGCGCCACCAGCGCCGTCCGCGTCGTGGGCGGGGGGCGGCGCGCGCGAGAGAGCACGCGCGGCGCGCCGCCCCCTCGCTTCGCTCCCTTCCCCGACCGACGACGACGCTCCACCACCACCGCCCTCCTCATGACTGGCCTCATCCTCCCCCCGAGCTCTCCTCGCACTGTTGGCCACCACGGCCTCACACCCAGCACGGATCTGCTGGATGACGAGCGGGGGCCCGTTGTGCGAGGGAAACAAACCCTTACTTAAACGCGTAAGGTTTTGAGCTCCTTTGGGGGTGGGGGCCATGCATTTACGGGCGAGCCACCTGCCATCAATCGTGGCGGTCATGCCACACAGAGAACAAAAATGCAGGGAAAACTCTGGCCAGAGATGAATGACATGAGAGCTGTGCGCCAGAGTGGTGCCAATCCAAACCTCTCCACGCCGACGGACGAACTTCGACCACTGCGAGGCGACCGAAACATCGACAGGAGAAAGGCCTGGGCAGGGCAAGGCACAAAATCTGAGCAGCTGTGAAGACGGGACAACCTGACAGCATCTCTTGCACCTCCACTTCGACCCATACTGCTCGCAGTCATGCGAGGTACCCGTGAGGGCTCGAGTCTGCTGGGAGGGAGGAGGCACTCGCTGCTTGCCCAATCTGGTCGCCTGCCAGGGATCGACCTGCAGGGCAGAGACCAACGCGCGCCTGGCTCGGCGTCTCACGAAATGGGCAATGCAATCATACATATCCGTCTTGGGCACTGGCTGCTGAGTGTACAACTGCAGGCCTTGCTCCGCGGCTTTACCTGCAAAATCGTCAGCGCACATGTTGCCTGAGGTGAGAAAAGCTTGCCAATCAGTGAGTTCCCTATCCGTACCCTCGAGGTGGGCGGCCGTCCACACGATCTGCACTTCAGCCTCGCCCCTGCAGCGAAGCGCCACCGCCACTCTGTACCACAAATCCTGATTTGGGCCTAGCATGCCGTGGGCTCGGCCAGCACGCCATCCATCGAGAACTGGTTGGCAATCAGTTACATAAATGATGGGTCCCGTGGTTTCCTCCAGGGCGATGGCGAGCGCTGCTATCTCCGCGCGCGGCACTGTCTGCCGTGGCCCAAGGAGGGGGGCTGAGACCCCGCAAACAGGCTCCCAAGAGCCATCGGAAGCCTGTCTGATCAGAGCAACTCCTGAACCACAGCGGCGCCTGCGGGGGTCGCTACTGTACTTACCCCCAAATCCATCCCCAAAGAAATAGGGTGGGTCCTGGCCAGGCAACACACAGGCCTCAGACAAACGAGAGGTGCCATGGTACGTGTTCGGAGGAGGCTCAAGGGGGTCGAGGAAGTGGGGGCAGGTGAGATCTTTCGCTGGCACGCCTCTCAGCCACAACGAAGGATCGGCTTCCCACTGAGCAGCCACCTGTGTACACAACGCCTGGGTGCTGTCAAAGTCTGGGTGATCCACGTTACATTCGCACTGCCATATACGGTGATACAATGTCCCAGGGGCTTTCTTGCACCTTGGACAAGTTACATCAACCGTGTAGCCACTGTCAGCTTGGCGTTGCCGTGGCCACTGACCTCCAGAGGCCACGCACAAAGTGAGGCCCCAAAGATCGGCTTGACCCCGAGACTCGAACCTACGGAGTTCCTGAGACAGCGGGAGGAGGTCGGCTCCTTCTCTAAGCGAAGTGCCTCCTTCGTGCTCAGCAGCGCCCTGCCAGAGGCCTGCTCTTAAAGCAGAAACGAACTCAGAAAGCAAGTCAGTGTGGTCAGCGAGCGCCAACAATTCAAAGTGGGGATCGCCTGGCCTCGGAAATCTCCAAGCGTGATTCGAGTGAGACGGCCGTTCCCGGAGGTCTGGCTCGCGGGGCTCCCAGCCAGCGTCAAGCAGCGTGGCCTGGACAGCGGCTATGGGACCACGAATCCCTCGCCAGCGCCGAGTGCCCAGTTTGTCGAGCTGCGCCCTCACCAACCCCCAGGAACGGCGGATGCGAGGCTGGAGAGCTGGAAATCGTTTCCAGAGCTGGAGCCACGAGTCAACTAATTGGCGCCTGACCTCCAAGGCGGGGTCGCCATCTCCCAGTACGGCCTGCAGCACTGTGGTTAAACACTTACCTTTGCTGTTGCCAGCGACCGTGCGAGCAACTTGTCGCCTTAAAAGGAGGACCTGACTCGGTGGCATACCCATCACTTGGTGTCCATAGCTGGCCTGCGGCAAGGCACCTGTGCGCCAAGCGCCTTGAGTGACTTTCCGCAAGCCTGCAAGTCGCCTCATCTTTAAAATCCGTGAAAATCTGCCGCTGGCCTTGGTCATCCTCTGCCTGGCTTTCTTACGAGTTCTGAATCGACCAGCCGCAGTGTCAACACCTAAATCGACCCCAGTGGGGGCATACTTGGCAGGCATCCCTCGGGCTCTGAATATCCTAACTACACGCTTGCCAAGATCAGGAGACGACGCCAAGACAACCGTTTTGTCCGAGACCGTCAACCGTTTAGCTCTGAAACCTTCCGAAAACGCATCCGCAAGGTCCTGCATCTCAGAAACGATAGTCTCAGGAGTGCCTTCTGAGCGCCCAACAGTGTCGTCGACGAAGGTCCACAAGGAGGCCAGGGGGGCTCGCCTGTGCGCTGCATCCAGCACCGAGTGTAAGAATACTTTTCCAAGACACACTCCATGCGACGAGCCTGCGACGATCGACCTCCCTGGACAGAAAGGATCACTGATGACCGAGCCCTCCTTGAGGATGCGCGGGGACATGAACAGCAGCACCTCCATCAGCACTACAGTTGGCGGAAAGTTGAGTCCGCGGGCTGCCACGATCAACAGTGTGAACGATATTGAGTCGTAGAATTTGGCGATGTCCAACACCGTAGCTGAAGAAACTCTGAAAGTTGCTGAAGCCTCGTCCATCAAGCTGCGCAGCATCGCAGCGCGCAGCGCACTGCTGCCACGAATAGCAGTGTCCCAGAAAGCAGAGAGCCCATCTGACCATTGAGAGGTGATCGAGCTCCTGATCTGGCTCCACGTTTTGCAGCACTGAGACAGCATTCCCAAGACACGCGAACCCCCTGCAGGTTTGGGAATGTCCGCACATATCGTTGCCAAAAGCGAAGTCGGCCACGTCTGATCCAGCTCCACTTGATTCAATATACAAGTAAGTTCCGTCAGTCCAGCAGGTGGCATACGCTGAAGGTCGACTGGCCCCAGTCCGTCAACTCCTCTAGCTTTGTTGGGGGCCTGTCTGCGAATAACTGACTCAACCTGGCCTTCATTGATTGGAGGAAGAGGGTTGTCTCTAGCGTCGCGAGAAATACCTTCCAAGATCCAAAGCAACTGCTCACGTGTGTCATGTGACTCCGTCCAAACATTCTGCCAGAAATCCTTCTTGGTGCGAATCAGTACGCAGGGGTCAGCCGTATATGCTCCATTACGTAGAATTTCTCGTGGCAATGGCTCTGGAGGTGGAGCTCGAACATGGCGGTGCACTGCTCCAGGGCTCTTGGACCACATCAGCTTAGCCCAGTCCATGAATGCTTGACGGGATTTGACCAAGGATCTGCCTTGTGCCCTATCTGCCCACGCCTGCGTGGATACCAGTAAATCTTGAAGCTGTTCCACATCCAAACTCGGTGCGCTTCTGGCCTGTGCCTGCCAGGTGTCTATGTCAATACTGAGGGCCTTTTTGCCAAAGTACTCCTGCCGCTTAGTGTCGTCCAGCCTGGCGCACATAGAGCAGAAGCCTTCCAGACACTTCTGCGCTTCAGTAGGGTCCTTTCCCGACTTCTGCAAAGCCAATCCCCGAGTGAGCAACGTGGAAGCTACTCCCCACCATTCTGCGATGGGGTCGCACATATGTGGTCTGCCAGGCGCTGGCCGCATCTTCCTCCAGGAAATAGAATACCCCTGTGCCCGTCCACTGTGCTTGCTCGGGTCTTCCACGTCACTGACCTCCAAGATCGCACGCTCCAAGGTAGTGACCCAACGGCCATATCTCTGGTCAAGTGCAGCACGCTGGGCTGGGCGCCAAGCTGGTAGCACACTAGTGTGAAGTTGAGATGCTGCCGTAGCTGGCTTGTAAACTTCATCTGTAAGCGTGTCGCCAATGTTGCGCCAGGCATCCTGGTCGAGTTTGAACTGCACACGTGGTTCCTGCGGGGTAGCTTCCTGTGACGGGAGGTCGTCGAAGGCAGCTCTTAAATCTTCAGGTAGCTCCTGCCGTCGTGCATCCTGAACTTGCTGTCGTTCCTGCGAGCGCTTACTCTGTGGGTCGGGGGCCTTACGAGGCCTGCAAGCTCGGGGTAGAGGAGCAGGAACTTCCAAGGAACGATGCCACCACGTCTTCTTGGCGTCCAAAATATCAATCGCCAGGGCACAGTGAGTTTTCCAAGGAACCGTAAGTACCTGCCGTATCTTGACGCGGTCAGCGGCGAGTTGGCGTGACACAATGGCGTAATCATACATGCGACCTTGGCCTTTGTCACAGGTGAACTTGCAATCAGGAAGAATAATGTTGCCGCGGAGTCGATCCACCCATCCACTATCCATAAGAGGCTGAGGTTCGTTGTTCCAATCTGCAGCTATCACCCAAGGGTCAGCGAGTGCCTTGGTGAAGGCCCCAAGAGCCACTAGTACCTCATTGTTATAATGTGCTAAGCCATTGGACGACAGCAAATAAGCAGCGATATAAATCAAATTGCCTGATTCCAAATGCAGCGTAGTGGCTGAAAAACCTTTGAACGGATCCATTCTGCAATCTGCAATCGCTTGGTCCCGTAATCGATCGAACTGTGTGGCTGCAAGATGGCATCGCGTAAGTATCCATTCTCCAGCCGATATGCCCGTGTCTGATTTACCTGAATCGAAGCCTGCTCTGAAAGACGCCAGCCATCCTTCCTCATCTCCTCGGTCCAGTGAGCGCACTTGGTGGCAGGCAGGTGCGTTTCCACTAATCCAGCGATGGGGTAGGCGTCCTTGTGGCTATTGACAAAGCTGCGCACCTTGGAGCCCCACTCCGTGATGTTAGCGAACAAGAGGGTGACATGGTCAGCTGACTGGCGATGCTGCAAGACGCCTGGCTCATTCTGATCAGTCTGTCCTGGCGGACGGGCCGAAGGACCCGTAGCCTCCTCAGAGGCCGCACCAGACGCGGAGCCCCAGGGTTGGCGAGGGGCCCCAGGTTCACCAAAGGCAGGCCCCTCAGGATCTCTCTGAGTCTCCCCCCGTCGCGCCCCGAGGCTCCATTCAGCCTCTTGAGGCTGACCCCCAGACTCGCTCTGATCGCCAGCAGGGGGGGGGCGACGAGGAAGGGAGCTTCACAGGCTTGCATCCTATATGAGACTCCCAATCCACTGGTGAGTGAGTAGCATAGTCCAGCTGTTGGTCCAGCGTGTCGAAGGGGTCAGCGTCAGAGCCGTCCATGTCCTGGCATCTAGCAGCTCGAACTTCGGCTGAAGTAGTCGGAGGAGCACACTGCTGCAAGACAAGTTCGTCCAAAAAGGTATGCCGTGTTACGTGTGAATCTTTGGCCGTATCATGATGTCCTGACATGTGTTTTCTTGAACTGCATCGGGCTCCAGTGGGGACGAGAGACCACCAGCACCCGTTGCGCCCGAGGCGCAACCTGCCCACGAAGCTGCCGTCGAGGTACCCGAAGCAGACCACGTAGCTGACGCTGATGGAGCAGACGTAGACTGAGTAGCATCGGCCATCTGCTGCGACTGCTGAAACCATCCCATCTGCTTGCGAACCTTGATCACAAGGCTGGTAACTTCATTGTAAAACTTGTCAACACGCATAGCTCTACCAATGGGAGCACATGCTTGCTGTAGTACGTGTGGTGCACATCCATATGGAATGTCTGAGCCTGGGTAGCACTGGAACGCTGGGGTCCGCGAGATGAGACGCAGGACCCCTGGAGGGACGCAAGAGATCTCACCCCTCACCTGGCGCGACTTGCGCAACGCCCCCCCGCTCCAGCTTGGCCAAGCGGTCGCGGACCAAGGCGAAGCGCTCCTGCTGAGTGGGGACTGCGGGCGCACCAGTTGCCACTCCTTGGGAGGCAGCAGTGCCACCAGACCCTGCAGTAGCCGCTGGTTGCTCTCCATTGTCAGCCGCACCAGGTCGGGACTGTTCTTCAGGTCAGTCTTCTGCCACCCGCCGCTTCTTGGCGATAAGGCGTGCCTTCTGCGCCTCGTGCTCGTCAACCACTCGTTTGGCTTCCTCAATGGCAGTGGCGAACAAGTCCTTGGCCTTGGTGGCCAAGGCCTCCCGAAGCTGCGCGGTGCGTTCCTCGATGCGCTTCTTGTCCTCGGTATCGAGCCCCAGTCCTTCAGGCATCTCTGCCAATAGGCCCAGGTCGAAGTCCAGGGTGTCAACTTTGCCAGAGACCAAGTCCTGGAGGCTGATCCTGTTGGGAACCGTCTGGGCAGGAGGAACCTTGGCCAGCTTGTTGGCCAGCTCCGCGTGCTGGGCGTCCATGATCTCCAGCTCGGCACGTAGCTCACGGAGGTGGTCCTTGTGTTCTCGTAGCTGCTCCTGCCACTTGTCGTGCTTGTCCAGCTCGCGGGAGAGGCGCTGCAGTAGTTTGTCCCGCTCTCTGCGAGAATCTGCCAAACGTTGCTCCATTGGCTTCTCCACAACAGGCGATGTCGGCTTGGACAGGGTAGTGATGCGGCCTTGGACTCGGTTGGCGAGGTTCTTGTCGCCAGTCTTGGTGGCGATGGCGAGCAATGAGGCGAGCTCGCTGCTGTCCAGGCCGTCGAGGCTGGTCCACGCCAGAGCAGGAGGAGCAGCATGAGGCCCACCAGCTTGCAGTCCAACCGCCAAGGGTTGGTTCGGCGGTGCCTTCGTGTCTGTCCACGACCGTCCACCCCAAGACTGCCCCCAGTGGGTAGGAGAAGTCCACCCAGGCTCTGGTGTGCGTAGTGAGGAGCAGTGTTTGCACCACTGCCACCACTCCTCGTTGCGAGAGCAGCCACAATGTCCACAACGCCACGTCGGTCCAGAAGGAGGGGGCCGCTTAGGCTTGCGTCGGACGACCGCTGCCTTCTTGTTCGCTGACCAGTCTCGCCAAGGTGGAGTAGAATCATCAGTTCCCATGGGCTAGCAGAAGAGAAAGTAAGAAAAAGATCGGGAAGTTCGGTCCCGAACGTGGTGAGCGTGGTGTAGAAAGCGGCACCTCCAGCCTGGGCAGGCACTGGGGAGGTGCGGGAACGGTGAGGGCCGTCAATTCCCTCCTGCCAAAATGTCAAGTCCGAGCCAACACTACGGACTTGAGCCAAAATGGCTACGGAGAAAGGAGGAGGAGGAGGAGGAGGAGGAGGAGGAGGAGGAGGAGGAGGAGGAGCCGGCGGGCCACAGCCAGCGGGCCACAGTCCCTCTCGGGCCGTCGTGGAGCGTCCCAGAGGGGCTCGGGGGCGCCGCACGCGGAACTCCCAGCAGTACAGCAGACTGAAGACGTCGGGCTCCAGCTTCGCCTGGCAAATCTCACCGAGCATCGCCAAAGCCCGCTCCCACAGCCTGCCCTTCTCGCACGCGCTGATCCCGGCGTTGTAGCTGACTGAGGCTGACCCGTGGACTGCGTCCACGAATGCTGCCGTAAGGCTGACATGATGATGTGTGGTTCGAGCTTCGCATTCCGATTATGCCACTGCGTGCTGCTGCTTGCCGCCGCTGTTGCGTGCTGTTGGTGATGCCTACCGCTGCTGCGTGCAGTTGCTGATTCTAGCTGCGGGGTGCTGCTGATGGCCAGTTCTGCTTTGTGCGTGCTGCTGTCCGCTGCCTGCTGCTGCCGCTGCTAGCTGATTCGGTTCTTGTGCGCTCCCGCTGCTGCCACCCGCTTTGCGCTGCTGCCGTTCGCTGCTGCTGCTTGATGCTGCTGCGGCTGCGGAGGAGGAGGAGGAGAAGGAGGAGGAGGAGGAGGAGGAGGGAGGAGGAGGAGGAGGAGGGAGGAGGAGTAGGGAGGAGTGATGCTTCTCGCTGCTGCAGCGCTCTGACGCAGCCTGCCGCCAGGAGAGGGCCGAAGGGCGAGGAGCCAGGCTCGAGAACGTCGAGGAGGTCGAGGGGGCGAAGCGTTGGGCGATCTTCTGATGTCATACTTCCATATATCCCAGACGTTTGCAGTCTCGCACTCCGACGTGGAGCTCTACCGTGGCAAGCTTGTCCTGGAGCTACCCTGGCATCGACCTGGAGCTACCCCTTCTGCGCCAAATGCAGCACTGAGGCAGGCTTAGCCAACCTCTTTTTCTTGTCAGTGGCTGGGCAGCCCCCAGACTTTCCCACCACCATCGATGAGCGATCAGCGAAGAGCGGGGAGCCAGAAAGGAGGAGCGACGGCCGAAGGAACAGATGGGCGAGAGGCATCGGGGTTCGAGAAGGTTCGTCGTCCTCGCGGACCTCTGGGAACTGTTTTTTCGGGCTCCGGGGCAGCAGCAAGAGCGAGCTCGGATACGAGAGCAGTCCAGACAGACCCCTCCTCCCAAGGTTCGGTGGCCCGTTCCTCAGGCATGTCGTCGATGTTGAGGGAGTGTTGGGTTGGACATTGGATGAGTCGATGCCTGCTGCTTGTTCATTTCGACTGCTTGCTGCTAGCGCTGCTTGCGAACATATTGCCTGTATGTATTGGCTTGTCGTTCGCTTTCTGTTTGCTTGCTTGCCTGCTGACTGGCTGGCCTGCTTGCGGCTTGCTGCCGCTTGCTTCCGAAAGCTGCAATGGTGTCCCCTGGGATGAGTCTAGGCGTTCTCATGTCTTTTGCTCAGGCTTCTTGGGCTGCCTTGGAGCCCGGCTGGACCGTCGGCGGGAAAAAGGGGGCTGCGGGACGGGGCGTACTTGCGCCGCCCTGGGGCGATGCCGCACGCACGGCCTCGAGGCAGCATCAGGGCCAAGGCTGGAACTCCGGGAGCGCACGCGTGCCTTCTTTTCGACACGGTGCTCCCTCGTGGCGGCGGCCGTCCGAGGAGGTCGCTGGATGCGCGCGGGCTGCGCAGGCTCGGGAGAGGGCAGAAGGCACTGCGGAGCATGCCCCCCCTGTGGCGCCGGCAGTTCTGGAGCACTCTCGGGAAGAGCTCCCCCGGCGGGCCGCCCAGGCAGACCGGGGCCGCGCCAACGAGGGGAGGAACAACCAAAAAAGCCGCAGCGGCGCCGAGTCCCACCAGCCCTTTCGGGCGTGACTGGTTTTGGGCGCTTCTTCTTCTCCTTCTTCTTCTTCTTCTTCTCCTTCTTCTTCTTCTCCTTCTCCTTCTCATTATTTTTCTTAGTATTGTTATTATTATCCTTCTTCTTCTTCTTCCAGCCCTCTTCTTCCCCGTCGGGGAGGGGCCCCTCCCCCCTGCTGTACCTTCTACCCCTGGATCTGGGCGGGGTGCCCCGCAACCCATTGGAGCGTCCGAGATGGCCTCGGCGAGGAGGCACAAGTCATGGGTGTTGCCAGGGTGTTCGGCAGCACATGTTGGCCTCCTGGGGGGGGGGGGAATTACAGTCGGGGCGTTGACCGAAGGAGCCCTAAATAAGGAACGAGGCCCCCATTCATCCAAAGTTCAGCTTCGGCATCCCATCGAACTCCAAGGAGAACCTGAGGCAAGCTGTGAAACAAGCAAGGAACACCGAGCCCCTCCCCAGCGAAAAAGGCTCCTTCTTCAGCGCCCCGACTGTAAGCCCCCCATTTTCTTTGATCGATCTCCTCCAAGATGGCCCCCAAAGGGCCCCACGGCCCGACAGAGTGCCCCAAGAGGGCCCCAAGAGGCGCCCAGGAGGCCCCAACAGGCCTCCAAGAGGTCCCCAAGAGACTCCTCAGAGAGACCCCCGGGAGGCCCCAAGAGGCTCCCCCGAGGCACCCACGACGCTCAAAAAGCCACCCCAGGACCGCCAAGAGGACCCCAAGACGCTCCAAGAGGACTCACTGGAGCAATGAAGAGACATCCGAAGAGACTCTGAGAGGCATCCAAGAGGCCAGTGGCAATTCTGCTTGCCCTCCTCCTCCTTCTCCTCCTCCTTCTCCTCCTGCTCCTCCTCTTCCTCCTCCTCGCACGCACGCACGCACACTGAAGGCATGAAAGATTCGTTGCCTATCCCAGAAGCCAAAAGGAGGGACGAGAGAAGGGGAGGAAGGAAAGGAAGAGATCAGTCAGCGATGGGCCGGCTCCTGTTGAACAGAGCACAATCGTCGCCTCGCTCGACTTGGTGGCCTCAACTGGTGTGTACCAGCAGTGCTTCAGGCCCTACTCACCAGTGGGTTGCCTCATGACTTCTTGACCATGCCGTCGTTGGTTGACAGAGCAGTTGAAATATGTCAAGATGCGTGGCAAGTTGGCAACAGAGAACGGATCGCTGCGCGGATGTACGATCACAATCTATACTACAGTACTTGCACACATTTGTTATGGTTACATCGACATATGCAGCAACAGTTTGTACTCAAATCTGTGCGCGAATATCTACTCCAGTTGGCCACCAGCTGGAATGAAGGCACCGTGATGGGCAGAAACCACATCGCAAGCGCCAACAATGATATACAGGGGATGTGCTATCGAGCTCTCCGACGTGCACACCTTATGGCGAATGAAGAGACCCCTTATGTTGTTCCTGGGCGTGAGACAAGAGCACGACCGCCACCTTTCTTCCACCATCCTTGGCATACGCAGCTACAAGAACCAGCAGAGCCTGCACAAGGGCCTGATGGAGAGGAGGAAGATGAACATGTTGAGTTCTTGCAGACTTTCGTGCAATCGAGCTCAGCAACATCAGGACCTGCAGCATCGCAGGGGACATCCATGACGCCTATTGGTTTTACCTGCTCTACCTTGTCTACCACGCCGACAGCGGCTTCTGAACCTTCTGAGGCCAGCAGTTGGAGCGACACTGTTTTTTCTTCTGGTTTCCCAGGGTCAAGGGAATCCTCTCAAACCAGGGCTAGTAGTGTGGAAAATACTCGTGAGAGCCGTCCTGATGGCTCCCGGCCCCAGTTTTGTGCTGTTAATGAGGGCTCCCAGTCCCAGATGGACGGGATAAGCTCTCTGCTCGTGAGGGGCCCGAATCGTCACCCTCCCTGCTCCCCTGCCTCCTCGCCTCCTCTCGGGCCTTCGGAAGGCCCTTCCTGCTTCGAGGCAGCTGCGACCCGCCCTGAGAGGCGCGTCAACTTCAGCAATCACACTTGCCTGTGTGCACTGGACAGCTGTGATTTCACACAGCAAGGACGAGAGAGGGCGTTAGAATATTTCAAGTGCACTCCATTGCCCTCGGCTTTGAAGCAGAAGCGCCCTCGGCAACAGCCTGAAGGGTCACCGCAAGATGCTATGCAATTCGGAAGCCAGGGACCCTCGTTCTCCGACCCCACCCCGAAAGAGGCCATCGAGGGGGCATCCAGAGTACTTCCTCAGACCCGCCCCCCCCAGACAGCTGAGCTTAGTGGTGGGGCCTCCATTACTGAATATATCAGAATAGGAGTGGGTAACGCGACGTCTTATGTCGATATGATAGATATTACTCCCCCTCCTGAGCAAGACCATCTAGTTCCTGATGACCTAGAAGCACCGGCTAGATATGCACTGGACAATAGTACCCAGCGGGCGCCTGACCTTAGCAGCCTGGAGCACGTGTGTTTGTACACGGATGGTTCGCACTTCCTGGCACGAGGCCTGGCGGGTTGGGCTGTAGTCATCATAGGAGTTGATGGGCAGGGTCCGTTCTTTTGGGGATCACTTCGTCACGCCTATGCCGACTCTAGCAGCTTTAACCTGGACATCCAGTTCGTCACGAGCACCACCATGGAGCTCTTAGCAATTACATGGGGATTGATATGGGCACTTTATCTTCCCGAATCGGTCGAAGTTCGTCTCATGTCCGACTCCAAGTGCTCGTTGGACAACATAAATATGGACGCGCTCCCCAAGCGGGACCAGGCCCTAGCAAAGACGGCCACCGTGCTCTGGGACCTGCTCACCAGGCAACGCCAGGCCATAAATGAACACGTCAAAAGTCACAACCATGACCCCTGGAACACTCTCGCGGACAACTTAGCGAAGGCCTCTGCCCAGGGGCTTATTCAGGACACTTTGCTCCCTGATGTTTGGGTTGATGGCCTCAGGGAAGGCCCCCAAAAATTCTGGAAATGGTTACGGCTTACGCCTGATGACCGCCACGCCTACCCCCCCCTGGTTGATGGGAAGTTTGTCTCTCAGCCGCTCTTGCCTAGAGCTACCAAGGTTCATTGTGTCGACCATGTGGTTAAGAAAAATCAGCAGGCTGAGGTGCGGATCAAACTTTGCCAGTTCAATGTCCAGAGTTTTAGAGATGCCGACAGGAAAGGCGCCAAAGGACCACTGCGGCGCGCCCGGCTGGACCTGATGAGGCAGCAGTTCCACGATGGTAAGATGATACTCATAGGCCTGCAAGAAACCAGAAACCCACAGAGGATGTATATCACCGGGGATGACAAGTACTTGGTCATATCAAGTGGCCATCGGGATTACAATCTGGGAGTTGAATTGTGGGCCAGTGTTGCCCTTCCGTACGCCAAGGTAAAAAACACTGAGTACTTCTTTTAAAAAGACCATTTCCGAGTC